AATAAAAGTTCTCAGCATCATATCTAAAGTATGGACATCGCCTTCATCCATTACCATAGAGGGTGTTAAGTGCTAATGGGCAAAGTGAGTGAAAATATCACTAGACAAGAACATTACTGAGTTGTGGTAACCCATAGCAACCGACCCTAAAATAAAGGTGTGCTGTGTATTTATCATTGAGGTTCATCACAGAGGAAACACAGGGAAACCCATTGCTTTATTACTGTATGCTGCTCCATTATGTTTGTGCTACACTAGCAATCTAAAGTCAACCTGAGCTAAAAAAAGAAGATTTGCTATGCTGAAGGGAACATTTAGAAATTCTGATTGTGCCTAGGTAGTACTCTGAAAAATGTACCTTTTTATGATCATGCAGGAAGAATTAAAAAATGACTGGGTAATATGGTGGTATAGCAAAAAACTAGTCCAGTCACCTGACGATACCGCCATATTACCCATGTGTCTTTGATTCTGCCTGTGTCCTGAACTGTACTCTAAGAAAATGATTTTACAAGTCAACAATCCTATGGTTTGCTAGTGTCCAGTGACCTGACTATGCCACAATATTATTCAGTTGTCTTTGAATCTTCCTGTGACCTGTACTGCACTCCAAGAAAGGATTTTACAGGCAAGTCAAAAATCCTATGTTTTTTAATGTCTCATGAAAATAGCAGCACAGTTCTTGGTATGTGAGTGTGTCAAGGTACTCTTATGGCATCTAAGGCACTGCTGCATGTGATTTGTGATGCCATTGCTGAGCTGCTTGCTGGAGAGGAACCAACATTGCATACTTTTTCCTGCTTCTGCTTTATTCATTGTGTGGATGTTTTTTTTTTCCACCTTTCCTAATGTTTGTTGCTCACCAATTATCAGATGACCAGTCATCATGGAGCAATTCTGAAATTAGGTCAAAGTCTTGCTTTTACCAAGATTTTTGCCCTCACAGAGAGACATGGTAAGTCAGTAATGGGAAAAGGATAAGCGGGTAGCCTACAGCAATACTATTGACTAGTTCTTCCATAGTACAGTGTTTAAGCATTGCGCTGTAGAAGGAATCACCAGTTCCTATACTATTTAACTATACTGTTTAATATAATATATATTGCTTTATGTTTTTCTGTAGCATACACATGCAGCAGTTCATTTATCATTTTAATTCAGTGATGGAGTTAAAATTGCAGAGAGAATGTTAAAAAGTATATGGGATGACAGATTATTTAGTTATACTCAATAGAATCTTGATGCATTAACCCCTTCATGACTGAGGCCTTTTTTTTCATTTTTTGTACCCATGTTTACAAGTTTAAACAGAGTCCCGGCGGCAAAAGTCACCGGGAGTCTGTTTAAACAGCCCCGATGCTGGCGACATACACTGTACGTCGTCAGTCACGAAGGGGTTAAGATTATCTGTTGTGATCACATATACCAAAGGCAATGAAATAATTAGAGCTTTATTGAAAAGTAATTTCCAATGTGTTAAAGCAGTTCTTAACAAACTTCAAACATTTTTGGAAACTGCCACTAGGCAGGCACACAGCAGATTTTACAAAGTACCACTGAGCATGCCTACTCTGGTTAGTGAGACTTACTGTGCAATAGTGACAGTTACTAACCGATGTGCTTGGCAGCAGACAGCTGGTCAATGTCAGGCAGCACTTAGCAAATATGCCTCCTTACAGGAGGTGTGTTCACTAAGTAATGTTACAATGTTGTGAATAAGGATGAATCAACGTGTCTGGGTTATGTTTGCTGGGTGTTCATCAAACACATCTTAAAATTCCAAAATGATGATGCTAAACCCAAGCAAAATTAAACTATATAGGGGAGAATCTTTAAAATCAATTGTGGACATTGTCAACGCTAATATAGGGGTTGTCAAAAAGGGAATGGGGGTATTGCCATGGAGCACATATAAAACTTGAAAAAAATACTGTACTTTTAATGCAAATTCAAGGGCGACATTGAACATACACCCGTCCTCCTTTTGTTAAAGTAGATGTAAACCCAACCACTAAAATGTCATATAAGCTTCAACAGCTGGTGATAGTGATATAAAGGTCCTTGTTTTGGGGTGACAAGGCTCTGCCACTGTCTGCCACAATATCCTACCTGTTAATCACCCTGTCACATGCCTTTCCGAAGGGAAAGATAAGCTTCTGTGATGATGCACATTGCCCAGGAATATTACACAGCTTTTAACCACTTCAGGACCAGGTGTTTAGACCCCCTTCCTGGCCAGGCCATTTTTCAGTATTTAGCGCTGCGGTACTTTGACTGACATTTATTCCGTCATACAACGCTGTACTGAAATGAATTTTATACAATTGTTTGGGGACAGATAGAGCTTTCTTTTGGTGGTATTTATTCACCACTGGGGTTTTTATTTTTTTCTATATTTCAGAAAATGTACTGAAAATTCTGGGAAAAAAAGTGTTTTTTACATTATATTAGGAAACAATTATTACCCAATTTTTTGGTAAAATATAAAAGACGGAGTCACATTGGGTAAATAGACACCAAACCTGTCATGCTTAAAAATTGCGCGCACCCGCGAAATCGCAAAAAAACTACAATACCCAAAATTGACCATAGGCGACGCTTTAAAAGCTTTTGCCGCTCATAATTTTAATGTTATCAGTGATTGATGGCCCTAAAATTATCGCTCTTACTGCGACGTTCGCGGCGATATGTAACATGTGCGGCGTAATCATCGTTTTCGCAGGTATGTGCACCTGACGCATGTTTGCATGCGTGTATGTATGGGTGGGGGCTTTTCAAAATTTTCTTGTTCCACTTAACTTTATTGCTATCACATAGGGGGCTAAGAAACCCCTCTATGTGATAGCAGAAGATGTGACATGTTGGAGGAGGGGCACGTAGAGAGGGGGGGGCACACGGGCCGGCAGCTCATACAAGCGATCCGCCAGCTCTGTAGCCGGCGGATCGCTTGTATGTTAACCTCCCTGGCGGTATGATTATGCAGGATTTTAGCATGCGAAAGCGGTACATTGTTTTTCATAGCAATTTGTTGTTTTATATTGTAGGCCTGTAATTCTTAGGAATAACGCACCTAAATCTGTCCAAAAAAGAGTCCAGTAGACATCCTGGGTATGATAAAGTTTGAAACACGAAATCATAAATTATAATATAATAAATAATTATAATGTAGAAATAAAAAAAATGGTCCAGTAAATGAGAATTCTGGGGGCGCTGCCTGATCCGTACCACAATCAATAGAGTACCAAGTTCGCACATCACTGAGCTCGGTCGCAGAATCGTTGTTGTCGTCACTTTCAGTGTCTGATGACGAATTTCCCAACTAATAGCTATCACTCGATTCTGCAAGTGATTCTAATTTACTATCACTGTTTTCTACCTGGTCTAAAACCGCTTTTTACCTAAATGGATGCTTTTTGAATGCCATGGACGTTCTCATGTTTCCAGACAGAAAGAACAGTAAAAGTGCAGGCAGGGCACTGGACAAAGCTCTAGGGACAAAATTGAAGTGAAATAGTTTGATACATAAATGTAATTATAGCAGATTACATTGTATTCTGTGTATTCTGTGTAAATGTTATGTTTGCACTTTTGAATTTCCCGCCGGCTCCGCCCCCAGCTGTGACGCCCGAAAACGAAACTGAAAGCCGAATGCCGGCACTGGCCGGGCGCACGCACACAGCAGAGGACACCGCAAACTTGCACGGTCAAGGTAAGTGACACTTTTGCAAAATCCCGAGTGTGGCTCGGGCTTACCACTTTTGGTACTGAAAATTAACCCCGAGCCACACTCGGGAATACCGCCAGGGAGGTTAACCGGCATTGGTGCCTGTTTTTAAATCGCCGGTGTTTCCCGCTCGTGCGCGCCCTGCGGCAAGCTCAGAGCGGGCGTCTACAGACGCCCGCTCAGATCTAGAGACCTCTCAGCCGGCCGTTTTTTTTAAAACGGCTGGCCCTGAGGTGGTTAAAGAAAAGGAATTTAAAAAATAGCAACAATAAGGACATAGGCCTTGTGAAAACATTGTCACAGGTCGGCTAGAACTATGAGGTGAGTGAAAAGCACTAACCTCATAGTTCTCCTTTAAGCACAGTTTCAACATGGCTGCTGGGAACCCTGCCTTTTTATAATGAGGGGCTGGCACATAACAAAGCCCCCATTATTGTCCATTCTAAGCCACCTGACCGATGTTCCGAGAACAGGATGTACAATATTTGTAGTTAGTTGTTATGCACATAAACAGCTGCATCAGTTCACATGGGCTGGGTTTGCTGAGAACCCATGCTTGACCCGAACCCAAAGCTCATCCCTAGCAGCGATACTGCTGTTCCTAATCTTGAGTCTGGTTTTGTTGTTTGTGTGGTTGATATTGTGCACTGTGACTGAATGCAAAAAATATGTTGGCAATTCTCTATGTGATATGAGTTTATTAAAGCATATGATAATCAGACCATCTATGGAATGGAACATTACAGATAACCTTGGGATGTTGAGGAAGCGTAGTCCATAAGACCAGTTAGGTAGTTCATGTTAAACTTTTCAGTTTGTTTTCATCTACTTGACAATAGTTACAAGCTTGATGATAATTAAAATAATTATCTTCATATTAAAATGCGTTAAATGAAAGTGAAAATTGCCTTTGCAAAAAATAACCAATCATGTGCAAGGAACATTTTGCATTTTTTTTCTTGCACATTATTGAGGTCAGCACAACTTAACCTCATTTAGTAAGATAAATAATGCTTCTCTTTGCAAAGGGAATTATCACTTGCGTAAGTGAATAAGGTGAAGTTGGAAGTTGTGCTGACATCAATCATCCAATCTGCAAAAAACTTGTTTTTTTTTTCATTTTCCTCTCACATGATTGGGTATTGTTTGCAAGGTGAATTTTCAAAGTGAGTAAAATTCGCTTTGAAAGTAAACATGGTTTACTCCATCATTAAATTAACCCCCTCCAGTATCATCAGTTATAAAATGATAAACAATGATAATATTCAACACCTACAGTTTTTGTCGAGGGATGTGTGGTCACAGGTGCGGCACTGTTGATGCCTCACAGGTTGTCCATGAACATGCTCTACCAACTTGCAAAACATCTCCGGCCCATTTTCACCACACGTGGCATTTGCTGTGATTATGGTATTAGTAGCAAGATTGAGAACTGCAGGAAACAATCCTGGGAAGAAAAATAAAATGGTTTGATTAAAGGGTGCACTTGTCCTCTCAGCGACCACAATTGTCTTCACTTTAACATTGCAACTTCACCAAATTAAACTATTTGATTTTAGAAAGTGTAGATATATTTCTAAATGTAGAGACAGCACAAACCATATTGTTTTATTTTGGCTTATCTTATATATACAAGAGTAACATACTTAAAGTAGAATTAAAGGCAAAGCTTTTTTTTTTTTTTTAGTTTAGTTTAGGATAGAGAATGGGAGGGTTATAACCCCTGTCAGCTTTATTTGCCATCTGCATCCCATTGGGGAGATTTCCCTTCACATCCTATCCAATAGCTACAATAGGAAGTGAGAGGAAATCCCTCCAAATAGAGGGAAATACCTGGTTCTCAGAAGTGTCACCAGAACTAATATCCCCATTGGAAGATTTTCCATCTATTCTTGTTTTGATGACAACCCAACATTAGGATTTTCTTTCAATTTCAGTGATAACAGTCACCAGGACAAATAGCGAGGGTGAACCTAATCCTAAAGAAGAAACTGATAACAATAAAAACATGACAGGTGCTCTAAATCCTCTCCATTTTATACAAAAAATCCAATCAAGTTTTGGCTTCAACTGAACTTTAACCACTTCCCGGCCAGCCGTTGTAGTTAAATGGCCAGCCGAGAGCTTCTTGGATGTAACAAGTCGTCTAAAAATGGCATATTAGCCCCGCCCAATCGTACACGCTGCACAATGCGCACGAGCAGGAAACTGTCAAAATTTAAAACAGGCAGCGATGCCTGTTTACATACAAGTGATCCAGCAGCTATAGAGCCGCTGGATCGCTTGTATGAGGTGCCAGTAGGTGTGCCCACCCCAGCATCAATGGTCCCAAGCTCCGCTATGCCTGGGGCGGGCCGGGACCACCATGGCAGCTCTGTGATAGGGGATAAGAGGGAGATCAGTACACAATCTCCCTCCGATCTCCTTCTCCAGTGTCAGAATGCAGAAAGTGATGTATATTACATCACTTCCGCATTCTTACATAGTTACATAGTTACATAGTATTTGAGGTTGAATAAAGACATTAGTCCATCAAGTCCAACCTATTAGGATCTCATTCTAGGAGTACCTGTACCCCTGTATATTACGGTCCCTTAAGAAATCGTCCAAAAGTTTCTTGAACAATTCCACATTCTTTGCTGAAATCACTGTGGCAGTGAGTTCCAGACCCTAACTGATCTTACTGTGAAGAACCCCCTTCGCCCCTTGTGCTGGAATTTTTTTTCCACCAATTTTAGGTGGTGGCCTCTAGTTTTTGTAATGGAGTTAATTTTAAACAGTTTATCGCTAATGTTGCTGCCACCATTGAACATTTTGTACATGGAGATCATATCCCCCCCAATCTCCTCACCTCCAATGTGAACATGTTTAAATTTAGTAGCCTTGTCTCGTAGCTCTGGTCCTCCATACCCCTAATTAGTTTGGTTGCCCTCCGCTGGACTTTTTCCAACTCAAGGACATCTTTTCTTAGTACTGGTGACCAGAACTGGACCGCGTACTCCAGATGAGGTCGAACCAATGATCTATAAAGTGGCAAAATTATAGACTTGTCCCTGCAATACATCCCCTT